TTAATCTTAGCGCTGGAAACGCTAACTGCAAGTGACACTAAATGTGTGCTTAAATTTAGCTAAATACAGCCACGATCCGGCGCAAATGTCGATTACAGGGTGTGCTGCGGGACGGCATGGTCGACTGGGCCCTTGATTCAAATAATTTATCTACTGTTGGTGGTAGACAGTGATACCCCTTTAACTACGATTGGTAAATCCAACGGGATGCTCTTGGTATCGCTATAATAACAAGAAACTTTCTAATGCACCAGTGACATTCAATCGTCTAGTGTTACAGTTGTTCAGGCGATAATGTGGTTACGCACAAACAATTTTGACAACATATTCTCCCACAGCCAAGTGGACTACGAGAGTTCAAATCTAGAAAAGCATATCAATCATTCGCGAGAGGGGCTTGAGTATATCCGATCGAAACGGATAAGTCAAAATAGACAAGCGCATTTCTGGCTCCAGCGAAATCCTCTGTTCTGGTTGCTACATTGAAAAGCAGTGCCTGTGGGCAACTGAATGTCAGTAACCTTGAAACAAAAGAATGTGAGGCCCAGCCACCTATTTGTACAATTAGATTGCTTACTATGCCATCATAACACGACACCCTGCCAATCTCCTTTTAAGAGACATTAAATGGTGATAAATTACGGTGGGGGATGCGGTCTATAAGGCATCAAAAGAATGCTTCGTATGCGTTTCGATTCTGACTTTCGAATCCCGATCTGTCATCTCATGTCGGCTGTGACGCTCAATTTTCGCATCTAGCCACACTTTGCTACAAGCAGATGATAGTGGTCGTGCACGCGCGATCACGTCTGAGTATCGCCAGTCAAAAGCTGCCAAGAAGAACAACCCTTTTCGTAACATGGAGCTACTAGCAATGATGCATGTTTTCGTCAAGTGTCAGGGTGGAACGGCTGTCGATTAGGTCGTTTGTCCTCTATACAGATCATGCGTGGTTGTGCACAGCGACGTCGTCATTGCATCTGTCACACAAGATTGCAGAAAAATGCTTAATCGAGTGTACATTTGAGATAAGGTATGAGCCAGGTGGGGCGAATGTGGTGGTGAATGCAATTTCGCGTCGCCCCGACTATGAAGATCTGCATGTCACAATATAGATGTCATCAATTGACAACGCAATACGTACAATGTACGTGTCAGACGCAACTGTGTTGTGCTGCTGAAAGCTTTGTGAATCAGGGATTATGAGATTTCAGAAGTTGTTTCATTGGATCGAGCGGCTGAGCGATTGTACCGTGATGCCTCATCTCAAGGCTTGCTTCTTACTGCACTGACTTACATGTTAAGCGTGTAGTGATGAGAATCTTAAGTAAAAGTCCTGTGCGAGGCACATGATACCTCCTTAGGTGACCGCAGGTGAAGCTGCGCTAATCTAATTCACCGGGGGTAGGCAGCGCAACAACAAAGCTCAGATAGCAACTTTGAGATATGATTCATCTCAGCCTTGAGCGCATACTGTGACTATCAGGGAGAGTCCACGTGCCTCCGCAGTCGAGAGAGCCCACAAGAGCCAGCCATGCGATTGTTGACTAGCGCAAAAACTGCCTAATTCGCAAGTAGTGGCCCACTTTGACGTGGGACGTTTGGCGGACAGGCGGGTTCACCGAGGCTGTTACATATGCTTGAGGTAGAAATCTCGTGGAAGTGTGTGGTCGCACTTCGGCAAAATTGCCCTGGTGTCATGGCCGCTACGAATTGACGCACTTCTACCCTGTATCGCCTTCAGAGAAAGGGCAAAGTCCTCCGTCCTAGAACGCGTTTTCAAACTGGAGGCGGCTAGCTTTGCGCTGGAAGCCCATCAATCGTCAGCTGTTACCGCTGTCTCATGGAGAAGACCGGAGCTGTCAACAACAGAGATTCGAAGTGATGGGTTATCAACTCGAAGTCCGCAACGCGCTTTGCATTTTGCAATTTTAAGCATGAGACAATGGTCCAGGGGGCGTTCGCATCGCTGAAACTGTTTTGTAAAGCCTCAAGACGGGAGAGATGGTATGCCTGAATCACGTACTGTTAAGAAAATCGCCTTTCATCAAATTGTAGTACCCTAGGTTTCATTGAGAGTGCGAGATTCCACAACTGCTCAATCACGGTGCGTTAATTTGGGCAAAGTCAGATTTTGCCCTGCGCAATATTGAATTTTTGAGCTAGTTCCAGTTTGTTTGTAAGAAGCTATACATCGTCGTGGTTTCTGCGGCGGGGTGTCACAACACATCTCACCGATAAAAAAGGGCATGGGGTCCAAGACTTTTGAAGTAGGGAGGATGAGCGCAGTAAGCACTACCTTCTTGATTGGCAACAAGATCCTGTCTTGCCGGTTATGCGGGACTTGTGGGGACATTGGGACCTCATCTAAGGACATCTCGGCATCCTCATCGAGAAATTCTCGAAGCACGTTAGTTGCGAGACCGAGCCTTTGGCGGGGGTTCGTCGAGCCATTATAAATCGATGCACGGGACTGGACTCTCGGCGCTGTTACGCTCAGTTGAAAGTTTGTCTATATTATTATTTATAGACGTAATGACTTCTCAATTTTTACCTAG